AAAAAAAAAAAAAAAAAAAAAAGAATCTCACATCGCTGCCCAACACAACGGTGTCCGTGGAGTGGTAAGAAGCTAACTATGGGCCCTCATCATCCACTGAAAGGCGTCCTGGAGACTGCCCAGAGCAGGGTGGGACTTGCGCCGTGTGCTTTCAGCCAAAGCACAGGGAGAGCCAGCAGAACATTCTTGGAATCAAGGGTGTTCAGCGTTCACCGTGATGTAGTGTCCCATCAACAGCCCAGGCTAGCAGGCTCCAGAAGACCTTCTCTTTTTCCTTTTTTTTTTTTTGAGTTGACATCTCACTCTGTTGCCCAGGCTGGAGTGCAGTGGCACGATCACAGCCCACCGTAGCCTCGACCTCCTGGGCTCTGGCGACCCTCCTGCCTCGGTCTCTCTAGTCTCTGGGCCTACAAGTGGGTACCACCATGTTTTGATTTCTTTTAGAGACAGGGTCTCACTATGCTGACCAGGCTGATCTCAAATTCCTGGACTCAAGCCATTCTTCCTCCTCAATCTCCCAGAGGGCTGGGATTACAGATTTGAGCCCAGTCTCCAAAAGACCACTTCTTGGCAGGTTCTGTGTTAGTCTGCTGTCGCTGCCATATCAAAATATCAGATGCTAGATGACCGAAACAACAGAAATTTATTTTCTCACAATTCTGGAGGCTGGAAGTCCAGATCTGTGTACCGGCAGGGCTGATTTCTCCTGAGGCCTCTCTCCTTGGCTTCAGACAGCCTCCTTCCCATTGTGCACTCCCAAGAACTTTCCTCTGGAATGTACCTCCCCTGTGGCTTTCTCTGCGTCCAAATGTCCTTGTTGTATAAGGACACAAATCGGATTGGATGGGGCCCACCCTAAGTGCTCCACGGTAACGCCATCGCCTCTTCCAAGGCCACATCTCCCAACGCAGCCACATTCTGCGGTACTGGGTTTAGGCTTCCGCTTGAACTGGGGAGGTGAGGGGGACCATCAGCCCCAGACAGCACCTCTCAACAGAAGCCCAGGACTTGACTTGGCTAGCACAGTTCCGTTGACTTGGTTAGCACAGTTCCGTGAGAGGCCACACGAGGTGGTTTGAGCAAACAGACTTCTGGAGATCTTCCCTGACCCAAAGATGGGAGACTTAGCATATCCTAGAGTACACAGCATCCTCATGACCCATGGGAGGCTCCTCAGAGCGTCTGGTAAGACTTGAGCTTCCAGGAACCTTGTCGAAGCCATGAGATTGTCCTGAACCCCCTGTGCCCTCTGCTGCCCTCATGAAGGCTGCATCAGCTTTGGGTTGGGTCTGAGCTGGAAGGTGCCACACTTTGCGGTGGGAGTGCTGCCTCTTGTGCAGAAGGAGCAGAGGATACGTGAGACTTTGTGTTTGCATTTGCTGTGTACGCATCAGGAGACTGGATGGGAGGATACACAGGAAACGAAGGCCAGTGGCTGCTTCCGCAAGGGAGGTGAGGGCTGGGGACGTTGAGGCAGGGCTGGGAGAGAGATTCTGTAGTATTTCTCTTCCTCTGAATTTTTCTTTTTTAGATCTCAACGATACAGAGTTGGATTGGTCTTAGTCCTTAGTTCATAACATACTTTCATCTTTGATCCATGCTTAGTTGTCTTTTGTTTTCTTATGTGTGTTTTTTGTTTGTTTTTTGAGTCAGGATCTCACTCTATCACCCAGGCTGGTATGCAGTGGCACAATCACAACTCACTGCAGCCGCAAACTCCTGGGCTCAAGCAATCCTCCTGCTTCAGCCTCCCGAGTAGCTGGGACTACAGGCTCATGCCACCACACCTGACTGATTTTTTAGTTTTTATTTGTTTTTGAGTCAGAGTCTCACTCTGCCACCAAGGCTGGAATGCAGTGGTACAACACAGCTCACCACAACCTCGAACTCCTGGGCTGAAGGGATCCTCTCTCCTCAGCCTCCCTAATAGCTGGTACTACAGGTGTGTGCCACCACGCCCAGCTATTTAAAAATTATTTTGTAGAGATGGGGGATCTCACTATGTAGTCCAGGCTGGTCTCAAACTCCTGGACTCATGCCACCCTCCTGCTTCAGCCTCCCAAAGTTCTGGAATAACAGTCATGAACCACTGCACCTGGCCATGTGCTCATTTTTAATAGTGTTATGAATTTATATGACCCCACCACTCAACCCAAGAACCACAACATTACCAACACCTACTGTCTACTTATGTGCTTCTCTCTATCCCGCTGTCCTCTCACTATGCTGCCTTTTATATATTAATCTTATATCCAGCCACCTTTCTAAACTCACATAATTCATCTGTAGACTCTTTGGGGCTTTTACATAGGCATCATATCATCTGCCTTTGGGAGTTTTAAGCGTTTAAACATTTAGACTGCACCACCCACTCAAAAATCTGTAAGGAAATCCAGATTCCATGATTGCATTGCTTACATTATGTAGAGGAAAATGAGACAGACCTAATGGCTCCCTACTCCCCATCCAGATGCAGGACGGACAACTTCCTTGAGAACAGGCATGGCAGACGTTTGTGGGGTAGACATGTAGGGATGTGCGGGTTTCATGAGCAGAGAACATCTGGTTTTAGGGTCATGGGCTTTAGATACATTTAGAGACCTTTTCTCCCAAAGGTGTCATCTGTTTTTCCTAGCCATGCATCTACCATTGGATGGATGCTTGAAGTTGTTTTTCTGATGAGTTTGGAGAGTGAATATTTACAGTGCTAAGTGCAGGTCCCTATGCTTGGAAAGAAAGTCACTGGAAAGGTAGTGCCTTGAGCGATGTCAAGGGGTAGAGTTAGGACCAAGGTGGGCTGCAGGCAGGGCCCAGGGCACCCTCAAAGAACAAGCCCTGGCTTGCTCCGAAGTTTGGATAACCGTTCTGACCAAGGAGCATGGTCTAGAACCTTCTAGCCTGGAAAATTTTCAGAGCGGTGGCCCGTAACCAACCAACCAACCAACAAAAATACGAATTAAAATAGCTAGAGACATGCAGTTTTAAGCAACCCCAGCAGCCTGCTCCTGTGAATCAGCCTCAGAATGTGACCTCTAGCCAACTGGTTCTACTGACCAGCATTAAGGGCTTCACCCAGAGAGGACATGACCGGCCAGCTGACCGGAGCCTGGCTCTGGCCAGCTGGGCAGCTGGGCGGGCCGAGAGTCCCGTTGGGGAGGGAGGGGAGCAGGGGGATGAGAATGCACATGGTGGCCCTGGGAGTGGTTTCAAGTCCTCGTCACCTGGCAAGGCCTCTGAGCCCCTCACACGGGAACGCCACCCGGGACTGTGCTAATTCGGGAAGGCAAGTAGGGAAGGAGGCTCTTGGAGGCTGCTAGTGTCAGACTGGAGGCTGCTGCCGTGTGCAAAGCGCGTGCTGTGTACCAGGCGCTGTGCTGGGTAGCTCCTGCCACTCTGCTCCAAGTCTCTTGCAACCTTGGTGGGGCAAAAGCAGCTTAGTGCCAGCTGCCACCTGCCTGACCTGCTGCACACAGTTAGGACCTGTCTAACCCTGAAGGCACCCGATACCCCGACTCCTCGCTGCATGAACCTCGTAAGACGCGTGTGGGTCCCAACTCCCTGCTGCGTGGGCACGAGGACCTCATATGACCCATGCAGTCCCGACTCCTTGCTGTGTGAAGCTCCGTGACCAGGATAGCAAGGGACACAGCTCCTTTTTTGAGCTGTGGTCAGCACTCCTTGTGCATTGCTGGGTCCCAGGCCCCCAAGGCGCTGTTTCCTCTGGAGCGAAGAGGCTACCTTCTAGTCTATATGCCACTATGCAGAAATGGCTCTGAGGCGTTCCGCCGCATCTCATTGCCAGCACAATGTCTGATGAAGACCTTGTATGACCCATGTGGGTCCCAACTCCTCTCTGCGTGGGGCGTGAGGACCTCGCATGGCTCATGGAGTCCTGACTCCTTGCTTCGTGGGGTGTGAGGACTTCCTACGACCCGTGTGGTCCTGGGGCCCCGCTGCCCCTCGGCTAACGGGCATGCCTGTCCTCCCCCTCTCCAGCCTCCACCATCAACAGCGTCCACATGGAGAGCCTGCCGGATTGGACGGTCACCAATGGGCAGAACCTGAGCCTGCTGTGCGTGGTGGACATCAGCTCCACCTCGTGGGTCAAGCCGCTGCGCCGCGTGCTGTTCTTCAAGGACGACGTGCTGCTGCGTGATGTGTCCTCCCGGGAGAGTGTGGAGAACGTCTCCATCGCCCACGCCCGAGTCCACGACTCGGGCACGTACAAGTGCACCGTGGTCCTGAACAACAAGGAGAAGACCACGCGCGAGTACCAGGTGTCAGTGCTAGGTGAGTCCCCGGCACGGCCAGCCCACGAGGCCCGGCAAGGTGGTGGATCAGGCCTGGACCCCTGGTCTCCCCCGCCCACGTCCTTCACACACGGCTGCCAGCCCTTGCCCAGCCGGAATGCAGGCGTGAGGTGTGTCCCGTGTGTCGGCCTCCTCCCGGCCTCCCTGCCTTTGCACACGCTATTTCTTCTCCCAGGCATACCTCTCAGCTCTCGCCTCCTCATGAGCCGTAGTTTCTTCTTCAAGACTGAGCTTCGGCTGGGCACGGCGGCCCCCGCC